ATTGTTGATTGTCTCAAGAAAACTGTCTTCTCAGTGAAAAAAGATTTTTTAATTATTTCGATCTGATTTTTAACTTGACCCAAGAATATTTTCTTCTTCGTGACAGAATTTTTTTCTGTTAAATCGAAGAAGAATTTGTACTTCAATCAAGATCTAAATTAACTAACCTTAAGTTGATGCTTTGCTCTCTTCAAGTAAATGTTCTACTTACTAGAAGTATAATTTATGACTAAACTAAGTATTCATTATACGTAAATTAAACATAACTTCTTCTTATCAGAAGTCGAAAATGTACATTTGCTAAGTTAAAAGTTTACCTGAGACAATCCTAATTGTTGATTGTCTCAAGAAAACTGTCTTCTCAGTGAAAAAAGATTTTTTAATTATTTCGATCTGATTTTTAACTTGACCCAAGAATATTTTCTTCTTCGTGACAGAATTTTTTTCTGTTAAATCGAAGAAGAATTTGTACTTCAATCAAGATCTAAATTAACTAAACTTAAGTTGATGCTTTGCTCTCTTCAAGTAAATGTTCTACTTACTAGAAGTATAATTTATGACTAAACTAAGTATTCATTATACGTAAATTAAACATAACTTCTTCTTATCAGAAGTCGAAAATGTACATTTGCTAAGTTAAAAGTTTACCTGAGACAATCCTAATTGTTGATTGTCTCAAGAAAACTGTCTTCTCAGTGAAAAAAGATTTTTTAATTATTTCGATCTGATTTTTAACTTGACCCAAGAATATTTTCTTCTTCGTGACAGAATTTTTTTCTGTTAAATCGAAGAAGAATTTGTACTTCAATCAAGATCTAAATTAACTAATCTTAAGTTGATGCTCTGCTCTCTTCAAGTAAATGTTCTACTTACTAGAAGTATAATTTATAGCTAAACTAAGTATTCATTATACGTAAATTAAACATAACTTCTTCTTATCAGAAGTCGAAAATGTACATTTGCTAAGTTAAAAGTTTACCTGAGACAATCCTAATTGTTGATTGTCTCAAGAAAACTGTCTTCTCAGTGAAAAAAGATTTTTTAATTATTTCGATCTGATTTTTAACTTGACCCAAGAATATTTTCTTCTTCGTGACAGAATTTTTTTCTGTTAAATCGAAGAAGAATTTGTACTTCAATCAAGATCTAAATTAACTAACCTTAAGTTGATGCTCTGCTCTCTTCAAGTAAATGTTCTACTTACTAGAAGTATAATTTATGACTAAACTAAGTATTCATTATACGTAAATTAAACATAACTTCTTCTTATCAGAAGTCGAAAATGTACATTTGCTAAGTTAAAAGTACCTACAAATTATTCATTACGTCATTTGCAATTTGATGATTTTTGGGCAAACTTCTAACTCAGTGTACGTCTATTTTTGACTCATGATTCGATCAAGTTACGTTAAGTTTATGTATAATAAATACGCTGTAAAATAATCATATATAATATATAAATAATAATAAAAAAAAAACTGACTTACACGATTAGTCAGTAGAAAATTTTTTTTGAGTGCCCGAAGTGTTTTTTGTATTTACGTTTCTGTAATAATATAGAACAAAAACTTCTCCACACAAATTGCCGATAGAATAAAAAATTTCTTCAAAAAGACAAAAAACGTTCTTTTCATTTTTCATTTATACTTATCAAATTACAAGTTTTTTCTTTACAAACATCCTCAAATAATGACATATATAATAAAAATAAACATTTTTAACATCCTTAAAATTAATCTATGGTTTTAATTAAGAAGTATAAGTATGGAAGATCAACGTCTTAGTTATACTTCTCAATTAAAACCACAGATTAGTTTTATTGTGCTGACATTGATAACTTTCAAGAGTATTATTGAAGTATTACGGAAAACAATATAATTTGCATTTCTTGAAAGTTCAAGTTTTTTTCAAACTATCTTAAATAATAATAAATATGAATGAAATAATATTTTAAGTTTTTTTTTGTTTGAACGAAAATATAAACTTATTAATTATCGCAATACATTTTTTCACTATATTTTAATCGATGGTTTATCTTTTCGATATTTATTGTTACTAATTACTGATGCTACGATGGATTTGAAATAAAATATGTTATTAAAACATGTTATTATCATATGAAATATATGACTTCCCATTACCCATAATTATTCTACTACGTGGTTGTAGGAAACATAACGATTGATATGTAATTGTTTCATATTGCTTTGTATTTATTAATTGATAACTTTGATAATGTTCGTTTTTCGATATGCATTTCCAAATTTTTATGATAAAACAAAAATCTAAATTTTCAGCACTGCATACTTTACTTCGAAAGGAATAAATAATTTCACCATAGATTGGTTTGTCACTATTTTCAATTTTAAGAAAATTATTCTTAGTATATCTGACTTTATCTACTTGTAAATATTCTATTTCGCGATAATTATTAAAGTCTTCAAAATTGGGTATAATTTTTTTATCGCTGTCAACTTCTTTTGTATCTTTGTAAGTAATATCTGATAGAAAATTTTCCCTTCTCGAGAATAATTCGGACAATTTTAGTTGTTGTTTAATCCCTATACTCAAAGGTAAATTTATTCGATTACAACTTCTTGTTGCACAGTGTTTCAATGAAATGTGCTTCGATTCAAAACGCATTGCCCAAGTATGTCTTAATGGACCTATAATTTTCATAATCGTAGGATAATGAAGCAAAATGTGGTGTTTTGGTTTAAGAGAAAATTTTAATGTTGTTGACAATAAAGTATGATGTTTTTTTATGAGCTTATCGAGTGAATCTACGTCTTCGATTGTAATTGTACGTTGCAGTACAATACAAACTATTTTTCTTAACAATATATATAATTTCCAATATTTATTATTCTTTTCTTTAACTGAATCGGCGATAACTAAAGAAAAATTCAATATTAGAGATTTCATTTCAGAAGCAGACTTTTTTACATAGCATTCATTAAGTTCAAATGATGTGATAGGTGGGGGTTTATTAGAATTGTCATTGAATGGAAACTTATTTAATTTATCATTGAAAAATTCCAACGTGAAAAATTTTTCCATATTGATAAATGCATTTAAAATAAACGCTATTTCATATCTGGCTATTCCTTCAAAAATATCATGCATGATATCAATTGAAGGATTGTTTGTTACATGAAAATCTATGATTTCATTCATAGCACTATTTTCTCTGATACCTGTTTCTTTTTGTGTTTTATTTTTTAAACCCGCATCATAATTGTCTTTATTTCGTAAAACTGAGGTTTTCAAATTACACTGAGAATCTGAAGTATTATTTTTCATAATACAAAATCTACAAAACTGTGTCGTATTAGTGAAAGCTTTTACAAATCCAAGAATTGTATTTAAACCTAAGTTATCGCCAATAATTAAAGCAAGCTTAAAATTGATTTTTATCGATTCTCCTGAAATGTTTATGTTTATACCCGTTGTTGCTAATTGATTCAATTCTTTAACTACTTCGTGGTAAATGATCTTCGATGTATACTGTTTTGCATCATCAGAGTGAAGAATTTGAAATGTGAATATATTTTCCACTTTCGAACGTATTTGAGGTGGTAAACATGGAATTGATATATACATTCCCGACATTTTATATACAGTTTTGTGCGAACCTATTGGGTTTCCGCACTCAAAATCATCTTCAAATAAGAATAATGGTATGCATAAGTTGTTAATTTTACGTGTTTTTGATTTCCAAAAATCGGTTTGTATTATATTCGATATAATATTGGTGCTAGATTGTAATTCGAGCATGTAATTTTTAGTCATTTCATACATTTGAGGTTTTTCAAAAAATTTCTGCAATACGGATCCTAATGGAATCAGACACCCATCGTTACTTTTATATACCAATTTGTTATTTTTAAATTCTTCTCTATACCCATATGTTACTTTTCTACACTTTATAAAATAATTTTTCTTTTCTAATTCTGACAATAATTTATGCTCTGTATTAATTGTAGAAAAACTTTTATGAAATTCGGTAAATTTATTTTCTATCTGCTTTTTTGCCGTTTTATCAAGTACATGCTCATTAGTTAAATTTTTCAATGAACTCATAAAACTACTATTTATTATATTGTCAAATTTTGTGACTATGTATTCTGCTTGATTTCTACTCAATTTTTCATCGCTATATAAATCAATTGCTAATTCTAATGCCGTTTCAGAGAATGACGGAACCACTACAGCTGTGTTATTTATGTTTTCATGATTAATTACATTGAGTCTTTCTGTTTTTTCGCGATTTCTTTCGGAGATAACACCAGTGAAGTTAATATCTTTCGATTTTTGGTCTTTTTCGGTAATATGAGTCTGCTCATATGCCACTTGAAACTTATTAATTTTATCAACACTACATTTTTTTTATTTTCACAATGCATATATTTATCGTGTTTTCGTAATGAATCTAAATTTGTGTAAACTCTTGAACAATTTGCTCTTGAACATACATACGTTACATCGTTATTTTTATGAAAATTTTTCATATGAGATGACATTAATTTTGCGCATAGTATTTTTGAACAAATTGCACATTTCGCTTCCATTGTTATAGTGAAAAAATGATTGACGATACAATTACAATAAAGAAAATATTTATGTAAAAAGTATAACGACGGAAAATCAGATGTCTAAGATATTGTTTCAAATAAATACAAATCTTATAATGCTGAACTTTATGTAGTTTAGAAATATAATCGCGGCACAATTAAATGCTATAATAAGTTAACTAAATACTCATGTATTGTCCAATACTTCATATGTTTTGACATAAGCACCATATAAAATGTTTTAAAAAAATTGCACAATTACATGGCATATATTGCATAAGTTTACTAAATACTCATGTATTGTCCATATAAAAATACTTCATATGTTATGAAGATCAACGTCTTGGTTATACTTTTCAATTAAAACCACAGATTAGTTTTATTGTGCTGATATCGATAACTTTTAAAAGTATTATTACTAGGTAATTATTCACTTAGCAGCTTTTTTAATTTGGCAACACTAATAAAGTTTCTATCGGATAAATTACATTCATAAATGAACTCTTCAATAAATACCCATACTTGTTCAGAAGATGACGCATATTTTAGATCAAGTCCAACCGTTGCTTTCCATGCAAAGTCCACAGCTTTCGTCAAATCATCAAAAGGAAACTTTCTGCCGCTTATAATTACAAAAGCTTGTGATATGTTGTAATCAGGTCCAACAGCAATTATATACGGCTGAATACTAATTTTAAATTTTTCCATATATTTCGCATGTTTTGCTATCTCTCTATCAATATCAACGATGTGCTGCAATATAATAAAGAATTGATTAATTTTATTTTTCGAGAATACATTCGATATCCGCTGTAGTTATATTATAAAATTACTTACATCAATCCACCGTATAAACCCATCACTTTGTTCTGGATATGACAGTTTAATACTTTTTTTTGCCTGTTTAGTAGGTATTGGAACGGGTTTAAACAACCATGGAAGTATTCGCCACGCTAATATTGATGAATTTTTTACGTTTAAATTTTCTTTACAGTTCTTTATAATCTTAGCTGCTTGCTTATAATGCTTACTGCCGATTGAAATTAATTTACCATGTATTTCTATCCATTTCTTGAATAATACCCTGTCATCGCTAGTTGTCTGAGTTAATTGATAGTCTTTCAAAATTAAAATGCGACCATTAGGAGGGTTTATTAATGGGTATTGATCGAAAGGATTTACAGTCGATTCTTCTTTTTTTCTATAATTCCATGTGTCCTCCCACAAAGTGAGTACTGTGTCACTCCACGTTGTTGCTTCCTTCAATTGTTGAACTTTAGATTGCATAAGAGATTTCTCACTTTCAATTATATCTTTTTCTAGGGCTGCTTTTTTGGTCAATTGATTTTTTTCAGTTTCACGAATTTTTCTCTTGAGGTTTTTACATTTATGGTATAATATTCCATTTGTCTTATTTTTTTTTGTAGAATGATGGTACCATGCATCAACCTTCTCTTTTGGCCATATACCTTTTACTTCTTTTGCCCAATGTTCGAAAACCTCTTGCGTGATTCTAAACAAAAAAAAATTTCACTTTATTAAATGATTCAGAAATGCATGTGCATATGGATGGACCAAAAAAAAAATAACTGAGACAATGCTCAAAGGTAAAAAAAAATGCTCAAATTTTTTTAGTATCTATGTATATATGTTTCATAATCGACTTACTTTAGCGAGGGGTATTTTTGGAAAAGATGTTCAATTATTATTGTTGATATTGTATTTGCATCGTTGTCAATATCTCCACCTTCGACCAAGACTGATCCTAGTGCAGAGTTTGCCAATACTTTTTTTAATTCCTCTCCACGTGAACTTGTACCAACATCAACTTCCTTATCCTACAAATAACTTACTACTGTTATTCTCTTTAACCGACAGAGATATAAGTTGTTCATGTTTAATAATAAGAAATCTGTCTTTTTTTTTTCTATGAAATGCTTAAATTCGGTAAAATATATATGGAATAATGTGAGATTTTTATATAAACAAACTTATTTATGCGTAAGAGAATTACAAATATATTGAACGATATTGAATAGAATAATAATTGATATTTTAGTATTTATACATTTGTAATAAATAGACAATACTTCACAGGAAGTCATGTTTAATCATATAAATTTAAATGAAGGAATCATGAAAAATGCTTACGATTTGTAATAATAATTCCCGTCTCTTGAACATAAATATTGCCTGATGACCGATTGAAGGAATTAATTTTTGAACAGTACTTTCGGGCATAATCTCAAACACGTATTTGTTTATGTTTTCAGCTGTGATAAAAAATGTGATACATAAATAATCCTTTTACTTAGTTTTAGTAAAACTTAAATAACATATAAGTTTAAATATGATTTTGCAGACGTGGTTTTTGATTGTTATCTACTCACATTCAAAGATTGGTATATATTCGGATAAGTTCCATTTTTCTAATATATCTTTTACAAAATTCTCGTCATCATTCGTATACGACGTCTCGATTATTGACTCTTCAATACAACTGGCTTGTGATGTGTCCAAACCACTATCATCAGTATCATTTTTGCCACTCATTGCTATGTTTTTAATGAATGACATCGAAAGGTAGAAAATAAGAATTAATAATCTTATGTAATAAATAAAATACTTCATATTTTTTGACATAAGCACCATATAAAATGTTTTAGAAAAAGTTGCACAATAAAACTAAAATTAATCAATGGTTTTAATTAAGAAGTATAATTACGGAAGATCAACGTCTCGGTTATACTTATCAATTAAAACCACAGATTAGTTTTATTGTGCTGATATCGATAACTTTTAAAAGTATTATTACTAGGCAAATCATTGCACGCACAAACATACCTCATACCTGTGCAGTTTGAAATTTATTATAAATTCGTATTTATTAGTTATATTCGAATTATGTATAAAACGAAAATGATCAACAAATGGTAGTAATTCCAATAAGTTCTGAGAATAATTTCATTGGCCAAATGTTTACGTTTTCTTGGCTTGTGCGTGTATAGTTATTATCGGAATAAAATCTTCGCGAACGTTTCAAGTACGTAAAGAAATAAATACGACCTAAAATTCTACGAAACATAACAAACTGAAAACAAAGACAAAACGCAGCATCAGATATCTCATCAAACATATGCGTATCACTCTATGAAAAACCGTTCAACTATAGCCTTGACAATCGTAAGATAACTTACAATAATATTTGTAATAATTAACTAAAAACGTTATTCATTATTAATTGAAATACATAAAATAAAAAACAAAATTCTATGATGTTATGAATGCTATAAAAACAATTATAATAATAAAGATATATTTACTTACTAGATGCTGTGAAATACGAGTTGTTTCAGGTTATATGTTCTAAAGATTTTTCTTTAAATCAGATACAAGTTGAATAGAACTGGAAGAAATAATGCTATTTCACTAATAATTATGAACCGGTAAATTACACAATGTAGAAAACGACAAGAATCTCGTTGGCCACTGTTCACTGTCCGATGACTAAATCAGTTATGATAATCTGCGCACATTATACGGATGTTGCGCATAGAAAGGGGGACTTATTTATCGAGCGCCATCTTCAAACTATATGCGCCAATTTTGAACAATATGTTGAAAGTATAACGTAGACATTTAATAGTTTTCAAACGAAGCAACAATAAAGTTTTTAATAAACAAATTATGACTTAATACAAGCAATAATTACATTGCTGTTCTAAGTCTAATGATTTCTCACACACCAACTCAAGATTTCGGCTCAGAGATAGTAAAAGCTGATCTTGAAATGAGAAAATATTTTATCTCGTTCAAGTAAAATGGTTACTTGACGATCAACTCTGAATGTTGTTCTAGTCAAAGTAGAAATTTTACTTGATACCAGAAATAATTTAATCACTGTTCTAAGTCGAATAATTACTTGATAATTAACACAAGATCTTGGCTTAGAGATAGTAAAAGCTGATCTTGAAATGAGAAAATATTTTGTCTTATTCGAAGTAAAATGGTTACTTGACGATCAACTCTGAATGTTGTTCTAGTCAAAGTAGAAATTTTACTTGATACCAGAAATAATTTAATCACTGTTCTAAGTCGAATAATTACTTGATAATTAACACAAGATCTTGGCTTAGAGATAGTAAAAGCTGATCTTGAAATGAGAAAATATTTTATCTCGTTCAAGTAAAATGGTTACTTGACGATCAACTCTGAATGTTGTTCTAGTCAAAGTAGAAATTTTACTTGATACCAGAAATAATTTAATCACTGTTCTAAGTCCAATGATTACTTGATAATTAACACAAGATCTTGGCTCAGAGATAGTAAAACCTTATCTTGAAATGAGAAAATATTTTGTCTTATTCGAAGTAAAATGGTTACTTGACGATCAACTCTGAATGTTGTTCTAGTCAAAGTAGAAATTTTACTTGATACCAGAAATAATTTAATCACTGTTCTAAGTCCAATGATTACTTGATGATTAGAACAAGATCTTGGCTTAGAGATAGTAAAAGCTGATCTTGAAATGAGAAAATATTTTATCTCGTTCAAGTAAAATGGTTACTTGACGATCAACTCTGAATGTTGTTCTAGTCAAAGTAGAAATTTTACTTGATACCAGAAATAATTTAATCACTGTTCTAAGTCCAATGATTACTTGATAATTAACACAAGATCTTGGCTCAGAGATAGTAAAACCTTATCTTGAAATGAGAAAATATTTTGTCTTATTCGAAGTAAAATGGTTACTTGACGATCAACTCTGAATGTTGTTCTAGTCAAAGTAGAAATTTTACTTGATACCAGAAATAATTTAATCACTGTTCTAAGTCCAATGATTACTTGATGATTAGAACAAGATCTTGGCTTAGAGATAGTAAAAGCTGATCTTGAAATGAGAAAATATTTTGTCTTATTCGAAGTAAAATGGTTACTTGACGATCAACTCTAAATGTTGTTCTAGTCAAAGTAGAAATTTTACTTGATACCAGAAATAATTTAATCACTGTTCTAAGTCGAATAATTACTTGATAATTAACACAAGATCTTGGCTTAGAGATAGTAAAAGCTGATCTTGAAATGAGAAAATATTTTGTCTTATTCGAAGTAAAATGGTTAATTGACGATCAACTCTAAATGTTGTTCTAGTCAAAGTAGAAATTTTACTTGATACCAGAAATAATTTAATCACTGTTCTAAGTCCAATGATTACTTGATGATTAGAACAAGATCTTGGCTTAGAGATAGTAAAAGCTGATCTTGAAATGAGAAAATATTTTGTCTTATTCGAAGTAAAATGGTTACTTGACGATCAACTCTGAATGTTGTTCTAGTCAAAGTAGAAATTTTACTTGATACCAGAAATAATTTAATCACTGTTCTAAGTCCAATGATTACTTGATGATTAGAACAAGATCTTGGCTTAGAGATAGTAAAAGCTGATCTTGAAATGAGAAAATATTTTGTCTTATTCGAAGTAAAATGGTTACTTGACGATCAACTCTGAATGTTGTTCTAGTCAAAGTAGAAATTTTACTTGATACCAGAAATAATTTAATCACTGTTCTAAGTCGAATAATTACTTGATAATTAACACAAGATCTTGGCTCAGAGATAGTAAAACCTTATCTTGAAATGAGAAAATATTTTATCTCGTTCAAGTAAAATGGTTACTTGACGATCAACTCTAAATGTTGTTCTAGTCAAAGTAGAAATTTTACTTGATACAAGAAATAATTTTATCACTGTTCTAAGTCCAATGATTACTTGATGATTAGAACAAGATCTTGGCTTAGAGATAGTAAAAGCTGATCTTGAAATGAGAAAATATTTTGTCTTATTCGAAGTAAAATGGTTACTTGACGATCAACTCTAAATGTTGTTCTAGTCAAAGTAGAAATTTTACTTGATACCAGAAATAATTTAATCACTGTTCTAAGTCCAATGATTACTTGATAATTAACACAAGATCTTGGCTCAGAGATAGTAAAACCTTATCTTGAAATGAGATAATATTTTATCTCGTTCAAGTAAAATGGTTACTTGACGATCAACTCTAAATGTTGTTCTAGTCAAAGTAGAAATTTTACTTGATACCAGAAATAATTTAATCACTGTTCTAAGTCCAATGATTACTTGATGATTAGAACAAGATCTTGGCTCAGAGATAGTAAAACCTTATCTTGAAATGAGAAAATATTTTGTCTTATTCGAAGTAAAATGGTTACTTGACGATCAACTCTAAATGTTGTTCTAGTCAAAGTAGAAATTTTACTTGATACCAGAAATAATTTAATCACTGTTCTAAGTCGAATAATTACTTGATAATTAACACAAGATCTTGGCTTAGAGATAGTAAAAGCTGATCTTGAAATGAGAAAATATTTTGTCTTATTCGAAGTAAAATGGTTACTTGACGATCAACTCTAAATGTTGTTCTAGTCAAAGTAGAAATTTTACTTGATACCAGAAATAATTTAATCACTGTTCTAAGTCCAATGATTACTTGATGATTAGAACAAGATCTTGGCTTAGAGATAGTAAAAGCTGATCTTGAAATGAGAAAATATTTTGTCTTATTCGAAGTAAAATGGTTACTTGACGATCAACTCTGAATGTTGTTCTAGTCAAAGTAGAAATTTTACTTGATACCAGAAATAATTTAATCACTGTTCTAAGTCCAATGATTACTTGATGATTAGAACAAGATCTTGGCTTAGAGATAGTAAAAGCTGATCTTGAAATGAGAAAATATTTTGTCTTATTCGAAGTAAAATGGTTACTTGACGATCAACTCTGAATGTTGTTCTAGTCAAAGTAGAAATTTTACTTGATACCAGAAATAATTTAATCACTGTTCTAAGTCGAATAATTACTTGATAATTAACACAAGATCTTGGCTTAGAGATAGTAAAAGCTGATCTTGAAATGAGAAAATATTTTATCTCGTTCAAGTAAAATGGTTACTTGACGATCAACTCTGAATGTTGTTCTAGTCAAAGTAGAAATTTTACTTGATACCAGAAATAATTTAATCACTGTTCTAAGTCGAATAATTACTTGATAATTAACACAAGATCTTGGCTTAGAGATAGTAAAAGCTGATCTTGAAATGAGAAAATATTTTATCTCGTTCAAGTAAAATGGTTACTTGACGATCAACTCTGAATGTTGTTCTAGTCAAAGTAGAAATTTTACTTGATACCAGAAATAATTTAATCACTGTTCTAAGTCCAATGATTACTTGATAATTAACACAAGATCTTGGCTCAGAGATAGTAAAACCTTATCTTGAAATGAGAAAATATTTTGTCTTATTCGAAGTAAAATGGTTACTTGACGATCAACTCTGAATGTTGTTCTAGTCAAAGTAGAAATTTTACTTGATACCAGAAATAATTTAATCACTGTTCTAAGTCCAATGATTACTTGATGATTAGAACAAGATCTTGGCTTAGAGATAGTAAAAGCTGATCTTGAAATGAGAAAATATTTTATCTCGTTCAAGTAAAATGGTTACTTGACGATCAACTCTGAATGTTGTTCTAGTC